TAAGAGTTGGTTTATTCCAGCCAACCACTCTTCAGCCTTGCACTTACTAGATGGCAAAGAAAAGCAGAGTTAGGGCCCTTCTAACCGCCACAACCAGGGCCGAAGTACCACCAACTATTGAAACGCAGCCTGCCGTTGGGGCCCTCCCTTCACAACGGCCTTCTTCCTCTCGCCTTTCCAAACGCGCCCGATCTACATCAACCGAACAGCAACTTATCGATGAGGTTGAATCCATCCCCCAGAGTCCTCCACCTATCCTCCAACCGGAGCAAGCCGACCGAGCTGAACCTTCCAATTGGTCTCCGAAGCTAACCTTCAACGACCGAGATATCAAAGCTTCCGATTCGGTTGTTGCTGAAAAAGATCATTTGTTGGCATTCAACTTGGCCAAGAGTGTGTGCCTCCCAAAAGATATGGAGCACCACTTAAAGTAGCTAAACACCGAAATGAACTCAATCCGGTCCGCATCGAAGTCCATGATTTTGGTAAGTAGCTCTGTCAGTTTTTTTTTTTTCTGTCTGATTTCTAACTTTTACTTCGGCTTAAGAGAAGTCTTCGTTTTGTCAGGCCTTACAGAAGAACAACATCACTTACAAGAAAGTCCAAGAGCTTAGAAAAACCACAAGGCAGGCAATGGCGGAAGCCGAGGCAAAGGTGGCCGAGCTAGAAGAAGCTGAAAAGAAAATGGCCGAGATGCAAGCAGAGAACGGCCGACTTGCCGATCTGGTTAATTCGGCTGAAGCGGAGAAGCAGAAAGTCGCCATCGCTATGAAGGACAAGTATCTGCGGGAGTTGGTGAAGCTTGAGAAGAGAAAAGACACCGAAATAACTCAACTAAAAAAGAGCGCGGAGGAAGCCGAAAATGAGGGGTACTGTAGACACCCCATTTTTGACCGACCTTGAATAACTCAACTAAAAAAGAGCGCGGAGGAAGCCGAAAAGGAGGGGTACAAGCAAGGTTATAAGAAGGCAGAAGATGCCTATATTAAACAATGCGACGCTGCCAAGGAGCTGTTCTTCAAGTGCGGCTGGAGGGCGGCTGTTGAGAAGCTCGGTCATGATCAGCAGACCAAGGTCTTCGACCCTCCAGCTTACTTTATACCGAAGTCCCTTGCGGAGTATACGGATGCCTTGCAACAAGAGTTTCTGGAAGACTCCGATTCTGATGACTCCTCTGCTCCCGAAGACATTCCGGTTGTTAGTGTAGACCCATCACTTCGGTTGGAGCCCATGGTAGAGGACCTACCTATCGAACAGTCAAATGAAACCGTGGTTCCAACCGAAAGCATCCAGGCAACCGAGAGTGAGCTTCTTCTTGAAACCGGTCTTCAAGTCGCTGGTGACGCGGCTTTTGACGCCGAAATTGAAGAACTTTTTTCCTGATTTTTTTTCCTTTTTTGTTACCTTTTTTTTTTTGTAACCGGGCTATGTCCTCTTGTACTTGCTTTTTAATGGATGAAAATTTTGTTGGACTCTTATTCCGGTTTCTGATTCATATGCTTGCACTTGTAATGTCATCTATTTACTCCAACTGTTATTTCGGTTTTGGCTGGTTAAACTATGCTTACTAGCCGACCACTCCTTAGCCGATATAATCACTTCGGCTGAGGAGTACAAAGTGTTTAATCTAGCCCCTCCAGTTTCAGTTATACCCTTACTTAGGCTGAAGAGTAACAAAAGTTGGTTTATTCCAGCCACCCACTCTTCAGCCTTGCACTTACTTCAGCTGAAGAGTAACAAGAGTTGGTTTATTCCAGCCAACCACTCTTCAGCCATACACTTACTTCGGCTGAAGAGTAACAAGAGTTGGTTTATTCCAGCCAACCACTCTTCAGCCATGCACTTACTTCGGCTGAAGAGTAACAAGAGTTGGTTTATTCCAGCCAACCACTCTTCAGCCATGCACTTACTTCGGCTGAAGAGTAACAAGAGTTGGTTTATTCCAGCCAACCACTCTTCAGCCATGCACTTACTTCGGCTGAAGAGTAACAAGAGTTGGTTTATTCCAGCCAACCACTCTTCAGCCATGCACTTACTTCGGCTGAAGAGTAACAAGAGTTGGTTTATTCCAGCCAACCACTCTTCAGCCATGCACTTACTTCGGCTGAAGAGTAACAAGAGTTGGTTTATTCCAGCCAACCACTCTTCAGCCATGCACTTACTTCGGCTGAAGAGTAACAAGAGTTGGTTTATTCCAGCCAACCACTCTTCAGCCATGCACTTACTTCGGCTGAAGAGTAACAAGAGTTGGTTTATTCCAGCCAACCACTCTTCAGCCATGCACTTACTTCGGCTGAAGAGTAACAAGAGTTGGTTTATTCCAGCCAACCACTCTTCAGCCATGCACTTACTTCGGCTGAAGAGTAACAAGAGTTGGTTTATTCCAGCCAACCACTCTTCAGCCATGCACTTACTTCGGCTGAAGAGTAACAAGAGTTGGTTTATTCCAGCCAACCACTCTTCAGCCATGCACTTACTTCGGCTGAAGAGTAACAAGAGTTGGTTTATTCCAGCCAACCACTCTTCAGCCATGCACTTACTTCGGCTGAAGAGTAACAAGAGTTGGTTTATTCCAGCCAACCACTCTTCAGCCATGCACTTACTTCGGCTGAAGAGTAACAAGAGTTGGTTTATTCCAGCCAACCACTCTTCAGCCATGCACTTACTTCGGCTGAAGAGTAACAAGAGTTGGTTTATTCCAGCCAACCACTCTTCAGCCATGCACTTACTTCGGCTGAAGAGTAACAAGAGTTGGTTTATTCCAGCCAACCACTCTTCAGCCATGCACTTACTTCGGCTGAAGAGTAACAAGAGTTGGTTTATTCCAGCCAACCACTCTTCAGCCATGCACTTACTTCGGCTGAAGAGTAACAAGAGTTGGTTTATTCCAGCCAACCACTCTTCAGCCATGCACTTACTTCGGCTGAAGAGTAACAAGAGTTGGTTTATTCCAGCCAACCACTCTTCAGCCATGCACTTACTTCGGCTGAAGAGTAACAAGTGTTGGTTTATTCCAGCCAACCACTCTTCAGCCATGCACTTACTTCGGCTGAAGAGTAACAAGAGGGGAGAGCCTGGTAATTTAACTTCGGTCTTCTTCCTTGCATTTTATTTCG